ACAAAATTAATTACAGGTCTTGTAATACACTGATATTAATTAAGAAATGTTTAGAACTGTTTAGCTTTGACGGCATAAGGGTTAGGGCGGAGGGCTTTAAGAAATTTGCAACAGATCATTATAGAGATAGTTTTCTGCACTCGAGTTGTTGTGCGTTCTACTTTAGAAGCAGAACAAATCGAATACGCTAATTTTGGGACGAGCTTGACAAACAGATGCTACTAGGAAATTAAACTGTTGAAGGTAATATCACTTGAGTTGTAAGAGCGATGGGTATAATGTAATGAGTATAAATGACCATTGACTTCAACTGCACGACAAGCGCCGACGAAATCTTGCGACTTAGTATGATACCTAGCACCGGCGTATGCTATTTGTTGTTGGATCTGAGAAAAATTTAAGCCCTATACAATAATGCCGTAATAGATTCCATTATATTCTATATTAAAAAGGGCAGTTAGAACGGTGTCCGATTATTTAAAATACGTCGATCCAAAGGAATATTGTCGTGAACCAGTGTCAAGTGGGGAGGAATTCTTGCCCTTATTTACATTCATTGGCACTTTTTCCTGCGCTTGTTGCTTCTATAGGCGTTCAGGGAGAACCAACGAAGTGCAGTAATCGCAAATAGTGCAGGACGGTGAGCAAAGGAAAACGCTCGTTCTTTTTCCAATGAGTATACGGGCCTTATAGATCTCGTTCTTTGCTTGCCTCTTTCCGCACACAGACACGATTTAGGGGTCGTGAACGTTAATTTTCACTTGCTCATTCTGCTACTGCTAGCCCTTTGTCCTTCCTCGGGTCTCCCTGATCTACCCCCAGGCTTCTCCAGAAAAAGCCCCCTAGTGAGCTTTTGATCTTCTCCTCATGCTATTGCCGTTCCAGCCGACCAAATCGGCACAGCCTTGTGATCTGTCTGTACCACACGTGTTCTTAAGACTAACCACAGAGTCGGCAGCCTGAAGTTCCCATAGGCCCTCAATCAAGCTCTTTGGACCACTAGAAGGTGGCTGGTATTTTTATTAATTGATTAGCAGTGATATCTTGGACATCAAACGGAAACTACAACAAGCGTTTTTCCGAAGGAAACGCTAGGTATGATGGCATAGCTCTGTTGTCTCTATTTCTTTAGTAGCCTGATCTTGGCGCTTTAAATACGCTGTATCCGCTAGTGATTCCGTGGTATTAAATTAATGGAAACTATAGAAATGCACACAACGTTAAGTTAATAGATTTAAGCATTAAACATGGGTCTGCTAATGTGACTCGAAATGATAGAACGGCAGTACAAATGCACTGAGACTGCACAAAAGGCATTTTTTTAAATACTGTTGTTATTTGCGAGCAATCATGGGTATTTTTACGGGGTAACGTATGTTGGCTGGCATGATGCGAGTGGAAACGCAGAGACACCCAAGCTAGGCGTCCGTCATGGCGATAGATATATGGAATAGCGTGTGCAGGTGTTGTCCTCATATAGAGTACACTGTTTTTCGATTCTCGAAGACGCTCTATATGTGGTTCTTCCAGCTTGCCATGTGTAACACTAATACTGTGCATGATAATAGCGGATATAATGACAAAATACGACATTGTCGTCATTTCGCATTTCGATTTGGATCTTTTTTTTTTTTACAGGACTATAGAATTAACGAACTGCAAATGGTAATTACTCAGCGATTTACATAAAACAATAAATCTCTAATGCAAAGTGACTTAAGATTGTCGAACAATGTTTTGCGTCTTAAAAAAACATACCATACCGACATGATGCCGGGTACTTCAGCGGCAGGAATAAAATCATTATTCAGGTCCCCCTATGAGCTGTTACATTTCACACTTGAGTCACGAATACTAGTACCTTAGTATGATTTTTATACTGATCTACTGATGAGTTAGTCGTCGTAGATGGGATCATTGTGCGGAATAATAATATCAAAAACATTATAATAGTGATTTAAATATGGCATAATGGCATATGGACCGACCATGTTGCTCTGTGTTCATACGATGAACGTCCTTATCTTTAAAGGAAACAGTAAAGATTGCTCAGATTTAGTACTACATATTTCAGCCTTATTGTGTCAGAAGAAACTTGCAGGAATCAGTGAAATAACGGTTGCTATTGCACATCTCATATATTATATAAATTCTTTACATCGTAGTAATGTTTTTTAGATTTACGGCGTGTCCTTTTTGGTGGTGGTGGCAGTACATGTGTGTAAGTGTTCTTCCATGATCTCAAATTCCAATGCTTTCAAACACGAGTTAACATGAAAAAACAAAACACCGGGATTACGGCTCTATAGCGGCTTTAAGTAGTTGCTCAATGATGGTCAAGAGTTTTGCTTCGAATCTCGTACATAGAATAGACAGAAACCTTTGACGCTCAGCGTATACAGATGAGGTATGGCACGTAAATTGAAACCGACTTCATTAAACAAGAACCTGTTCCCTTTAAAGCAAAACTTTCACTAGGGAAAACGATGCATTGTTTTCATAATCTGAGCTATTAGCTATTCTCTTTGCGCCGGACGAAGATCTGCTGCAAGATTAAAAACGTCCATCTCAAAATCGACGGTATACGTTATTGCCAATAAAAAAAAAAAAAAAAAAAAAACCTATAATGCAGTGTAAAATAAGAACTGTACATGTAATATTCAAAATTTCTCGAGGGCAATTTATCCTTATCTGACTACACCATCAGTAATTGCAGTTACTCATTATGCTGTGCTTTTTGTTATTGTGGTACCGCTATTGCCTTGATGCGTATTCATATGAACATTGGATAGACTAACGGAACAGCATTGCAAGTCTATCAAGGAAACGCTGGTGCAGCTCGTACATTGACGACCGTGGTAACCGATGCCTGCTGTTAAACACGTACTTCTTCTTTGCAAACACTGACAAAAACACTACTGCAGTAAATTCGTTAAAATGTTTCAGTACAGCCTCTCGTGTGACGAGTTGTTTGGCTAAGTTACTGTTGGTATTTGTGACCGTGTTTCGAGGGTTTTGTTACACATTTGGCGATAGGCGATATTGTTGTTACCATTGAAGCACCAATGGTTTCTCTTTTTTGACCTTTTCGTTTGTCGGCCTACGCACCGCCGATCGGAGCAGGAGACGTGTTGTTCACTCAAAGCCGGAGTCCAAATCTCGTCATTGACTGTATTATGGCTCTGCGTGTCTAAAACGCAAGTAATGCTAAGTTGTATCAGTAAAAGATTTGCAAGCGTAAGATCGTACCATTTTGCGCGTGGCCAACCAGATTAGGATCGGGGATCTTTTGCTCTCAGAGGCGGCGCTGCCGTTCACTTCATCTCGCAAACATGTATTGAAGTGTATCTGCTGCTGGTAGTACACCTCCCCTGTTCATGTTTCATTTATTAAAGAGGTTTTCACTTTTTACACTGGAGTATTATGTTTATGGTTATAATAACTAACAACGGAGAGGAACTCAAAGGTTCCAGCATATGTCATGCATGTTAATCGACAATGTATGCCATACTGTTTCCTAATCATAGTTGTATTTTTATTAAAATCCCCGAAATCCTTAGACTCCTAATATATACATGTACTCGCAGAGCAATCGATGAACTAGCCGTTCAGTATTCTAAACAAGGGTGAGCGTAAATTGCAAACAGAATGAGAAATGCAGAAGCCTGACAGTTAACAATTAGCAAGAGGATCTGGTGCTGATCTTTGTGATCTTCTAAAGTGACAGCAAGCAGTGGCTGCGCACGGTTTCTTAGCAGGTCAGGTCATTTCTAGGATTACTGATGTCGTGTACTCCTAACAAAGGATTAAGCGCAGTTGAAAAATACGCCTGCCGTATTAGCTTATATAGCAAATATGTAGCCATATTAGATGTTAACCTGCGTTTTATATGTACAAGCAATGTTCAAGAGGGAAAATATCAAAACGTTCTAAATAAAACTCTGGCCCTAAATTTCTTGCTACGCCCAGTTTGTTGTAGATCTCAATTTAGTACATAAAGGTAGCTCAGGTCTCTTAGTGTTTACAGTGTCGGAGAGTGCCCGCCATGTTCTATGTACGCTTAACGAGGAAATCTCGGACAGTAGTAAAATATCTGATCGTATACCAAAGGGTGGAATTTGTCTGGGATGTCCTTGTCATCGTGCACTTTTGATAAAGAAAGGAAACTCTTGGGATCCTCGTAGTGACTCCTTTTTAAATTTCGTAGGAGGGCTAGGTACGCTGACTTTGAGGCCGAATTTAAGATATTGTGCTAGATTTCAAGACTTATAGTCTTCGATGCAAACCCTTCACGCATTTCTCTCAAAATGGATCAAATAATCTCGTGGTTGTTTAGCAGTACAAGCGTATTATGTCTGTGAAAAATAAATGAGATTTATTATTTTTTTGTTATTAAGAAGAGGTTTTAAAATAGTAGCATGCATGCAGTACAAATTGTTAGTAATATATAATAAAACGATAGTGCATTAACGCCAAAGAAGAGTGTTATGTTACTAATAAACCGATCAAACACCCGTCCTGTAATAGTCATTTTTAAATACTTCCGTATATTAAGGGCTATTTAAACCCGAAGGGAGAATACTAAGTTGTCCGTGCGTTGATAACTATCTAAGTACCAAATACTTCGGTACCCAAATCTATATTTCAACAAGTGGTAGTACGTAAGGCAGTCGAACAGCTAGACAAGCTTCTTCATTGAAATTTTCAATATTGATTTCGAGGTAGCTAACGAAAATTTAAAGTATCGGAACAAGTGAGCCACTTCAAATGTTGCCCTCATCCGCTTAGCCTCTCCCATTCATTCATTCATTCATTCATTCATCAACGCTAAATTGAAGCGAAGCTTAAAAATTAAGGATTGACGAAGACAAATGAATTCTGCTTAACTGATGCTCTAGGCACAAATAGAACAGTCTTTTCTTATGGAGAATACACTCATTCAAAAACAGCTTAGCAAATATCCAACCGTTAGTAAATGTTAGCGCCGATAGTGTACATACCGCAATTTTGCTCGTCGCTCATGTCTTGACAATCGAAATCACCATCGCATCTCCATTCTTTCTGAATACATCGTCCGTTACTACACTGGAACTGATTTAGCGAACACTCGGCATGTTCTGTAATAAACATAATATTAACACAGACAAAACAATGTGTTTGTAACAAGCGTATAGTTATTAGCCTTAACGCATAATAGTGATTCCCAGGATACCTCCGGAATAAAAACAATATTGAATAGTCCCACGTTTGAATAGAGCTGTTATGTTCAGTTCATTTCGTTTTTTGTTATTCGAGCCTGCTAGCTTGTCCTGTATCAAGAGGCGCCCCACCTCGCAGGCCTATTCAGGATATTTAAAACGTTTTGTCCACATAGATAAAGGCAAAAGTGAAACGCATTCCTAAAAGTAACTACAGAGAGTTGCTTCGCACACGACAGCATTATTACGAGGAGGATAAACGTTTTTTGTCTACGATACTCAATAAATGCAGGCTTCAAATAGCCTGTCGGTTTCACAGGCGCCGTACTATAAAGAATAGCGAGACAAGACGTTTCGTCAAGCCAAGTTCGTGAAATCTACACGACGCAGTTAGACCAATGAGAATGTTTCGCGTGCTTTCTAATCAATATAATAACATTTTCTAACAAAAACGTTTATCAAAATGTATAATACTTACAAGTATTCCTACGCATCCAGTGAAAGAGCTACTACAGAAAACAGTCACATATACAGATCATAAGAGTATATGTGTTTACTGACCTTTGCCAACATTGGTTCGTAGTGTATTAGTTTTTACTACGGCCAAACAAGGAGCAATTGGGAAATAGCTTATTTCGATCGATGATTAGCCTTTCCGCAAAATGATATAAATTCGTAACTGATCAAATAAAATGTGCTTAGTACGCAGTGACTGTGAAATTATTTTTAACCCTGTGCGTAGTGTTTTTTTTTTTGTTTTCATTTTTGCATTGACATAAAATAACGAAAGTTGAAACTTAATTTTTTTGCTTACCGCAATGTTTTTCATCTGAGCCATCGATACAGTCGCTGTCACCATCACATCGCCAATCAAGGTTAATACACAGGCCATCTCTCTCGCAACGAAACTCACCTTCTAGACATTCGCCACCTACAAATATTAGCATAAAATATAGGGGTACTATAGGTTTTGCCCATTTTTTACATACGATACTTCATTTTTCACGATTCCACCTATCGCGTCGTGTAAAAAAAACTAATTCATTTAGGATGCTGAATCTATGCGACCTTTTCTATTTTTGTGCGTGAGAACGTAGCTATAGTATGGCTATTTTAACAACAAATGTTCATTTGCGTATTTTTTAATTTTTTGACTAAAACAGGAAAAAAAAAAAAAGCTTTTAGAAAGTATGCGTCGCTGTCATGTGTCCTTTACAGAATTACTCAACGACTCGTTAATTAAAAGAAAAAAAAACGTACAAGGTTATAGGTTGTCGTGCTAAGTTGGCCTCGCTTCATTAAAATACATACAATGTAAAATTACTTTTCTTATGCATTTATTCTTGCTCGAAAAGATCGACAGCCTGTACGACCCACTCGCGTTATTAACTGTTATTTCCAGTAATTCAGCGAGTAACATTAGATGGATTGTCAAAGCAATAATAGAAGAATATTCAACATCCGAAGGATTATTCAATTGTTAATTTTCGAAGTTCTTTCTAACTTGAGTTTTGAGAAACTTCAGAGAATAATATTTCACGCGTAATCCGTCGAGTGTTTTGAAGTCGGATTGCTATCAAGCTCACTCTACAATAGACACCTTGCTGCCGGTCGCAGTTGCCACAGAGCCGGTACTCAATTGCATATCTGATACCATCTCCTCCTGTCTGATGCTTCCTCTCAAGCTCTGCGTTTCGGTTTATATCGGTAGTCACTTCCGCATATTGAACCTTTGGCTGCCAACAGAATATAAGAAAAATTATTTTGATCCAATTGATTGTTACGTTCTCTTTATGCTCGTGTTCGACTCACATTATTTTTCAACGGACTGCCCTGTCTCAAAATGACCTTTAGCTTTTTTCAGCTAAGCGAAAACTTATTGCTCCGTTTGAGCTACCCACAGGCCGCCGAACTACCGAGATCAATCGCAGCACTTGACAGGAAAAAGCGTACCGGAAACGGGAACACGCTCGACGCTAAACACGAAAAATTCAATTATCGATATGAGCGGTAAGGGCCCTCGAGTGCACAAAGAAAGTCTAAGGTAACTTGATTACGTTAAAAGAAAGGTCCGCAGGGTAGTGCGATGATTGTTCCGTATTTACGCGTTACCGTTTGCTTGGCACGTATATTTCCTTTTGTTTTGGAATCATCGAAAGCTGCCTAATCGGCAGTTTCTTCCTTATGTATCCATTAACATTAGCATACCTTGTCGCAGTGGAAGGGGGAAGAGTTTTAGTGTGCATAAGTAATTCGTGTAGATAAGCTAAATACAGTAAGAATATAAAAAGTTGTTTTATACACGTGCGAAATCAGTTTCGTTGCAGTCAGCTTGTCTCGGCTCGTACTTGCACCGTTGGTTTATCACCCAAATCTATGTCCATACAATTACGTAATGTTTGTTTGTTTATTATGCTCAACTGAAAAATCAACATAAAATTGAAGACCTTATATATTTTACAAACTCCTTAAACAAATCTGAATTTGAAAATAAAAGTATAACTCCATTAGTATTTTCATTATAATCAGCGTATAGCATCCCATCTATTAATAGAATGTTGTTTTTCAATCTATTACTGGTGAATCCGACTTAACTACATGGAACTGACTAGAACGTTGGTAGTAAGTAACACTGAGAGCATTTCAACACCAAGGCTATTATTTACTATCTCTCAGTGTGGCCGTTTGAGTTTTTTTTCTACAAATTAACTTATTTAAATGTTATGATGTTGCTTTCGAAACGTATTCAAGCGAAACGCCATCTAAAATGTTAGAAAAACAATAACTTTTTTTTTTTTTCTCAAGAACCGGAAACTTTTACCAGATGCGATAGGAATAGATATGATTAGTAGCAGATAGACATTTTCTTTACAGATATCTACTAACAATGTATAGAATCGTTAGAAGCCGTAACATCGTAGTGTGATTCATGACATACGAGCGAATATGATTCTCTAAGTTTTCCGTGTGTTTACTAGGTTTCATCACCTTGACCCTGTGGAGCTTCCTAATATCATTGTAGGAAAGATCCGTCTAGCTTGAATTAATTCATAAAGTGTTTATTTTCCGGTAGGCTTACTTTATGTTCGAATGAGTCACTAGCTTCGCTTCTAAATGGTGCACCATCATTTTTTAGCGATACGTTTTCTACATACTCTTGTACACCTCTAGCTTGTGCTTTAGCGTGTTCAGGTAACCAATCTAATATCTTATATGGAAATCATCGCTGAATGTAGCCTATTTGAGGTGCATGTCCACTTGAAACGTGCCAGAATGTAAATTTTGTGTAGATGAGATTTATTTATTTATTATTAATTTGCTCGAACGTCAATAGAATTACGAAAAAATAAAACCTAACCAGCTCGTTTTTCTTTATTCTTCTGTTTCTAAAAAATGCATTCTCCTAAAAAGACGTTTATCAGATTGTTTCTGTTTTTTTTATGAAAATTTAATTATCGTATAGGTTCATCTTAAGCAGTAAGGTACCTTGAGGATGTATAGAATGACGTGTCTCAGAATGAAGGTATTCGTAGTTTACGTTGTTATGTTGACTTCCAGGGCTTGGATAAATCATAGCCTGTGGACATGCCGGCTTTCAAGCCACAACAGCTCGCCATCTATCGAAACTTCACTAGTACTTATGATATACTTACCGTGACGCCGATCCGCCATAAGCGGTTACGAAGCTTTATCACTTCAGTGTAAAAATCGCAACATCCTACCGAAGAATAGACACTTTCCCCTGATTATGTTCTTCTTTTGAACATTACCGGATAATAAACCAAATGGGATAAAAAAGCATTGTTACTTTCAATTTTTTTCAAGATTTTATTTACAAGACACCGTCCGCTTGTTTATGGTGCAGTATTATTACAGTCTTCGGTCTATAGTCTGTTTCTGCGTTTCTGTGCGCATTATCTTGTTCTCATTGTTTTCATGTTCATATGACAGTTCTTGCCTCGCTTACGGATAAATTATAGGCAATTTCTCTTAAATATTGTTTTTTTTTTTTTCGTTTGTTTTTTATTTTATTCCATTTCGAGACTGTCGTTACGACGTGCTCTTTGTATGCTCAAAAGTTTATTGTTGCGGTTTCGTGCATGACCATATTTATAATGTAACATCAAATAGTAAAAGCCCACGGAAATTATTGCATATAAAAATACCTACTTCGTATTTATACAATTAGTGACGCACGTCAAAAACGCATGCGTCATCAATTTACGTAATTTTTATCTTGGCAACCATTGAATATTGCTGGTCGTGGTACATCACCATGCCATATGCAACTTTGTAAATGTTTTTAACCGACATCGATGACCCCCCATTCAAATACAATGCATATAATATAGTTTAAAAATAGTGAATCATATCATCAAGAGCACCTTTTGTGCATATCTCGATAGCAGCACTATTTTTTTACTTTTTTTTTTTTTTTTTGGGTACTAAAGTTGTCTCTTTTTTTGCATTCATGCACAGCTTCTGTTTTGTCACAAATAGATTATTTTATTCCTTTTTCAAGATCTTTGAATTTACGAGGTCGTTGGAACAGCAGAAAGCATTATTCTTATCGAAGGGAACTGCTTTGACATCGGTGGCAAGGATTATATAGTTGATAAATATGTGAAATAGTGTTTGAGATAAGCATGTACCGTGCGGAAGCAAATTCAAAATTTCTTATCTGATGAATCAGTACTAGCCTTTACTAGAGCTGAATATTTTTAGAGAGCTTACCAATCTCAAGTTTATTTTTCTTTTGCAACAGTTTTTCTCAAAAATTGCGTCAAGTGCATTGTGCCTCATACACTGCTGCTTTTCCCAATTCCACTTTGAGCTGGATGACCACTAAACGAGGGGCACAAGTGTTTACATTATTCAAATCCTGAGGCGCTAACGTATGAGTGATGTAAGGCATACGCGAACTTGTCGCATACGTATGCAGATTTGCCCAACAGTCCTTTTGTTAGTATAACGATCCCACACTAAGACAGCCGGCTCGCTTTTCAAAGAGAAATGTCCCATAGCAAAGATTGAACTAGTAGTTGTCTTTTGGGCACAAACAATCGATATTATCGGGTCGAAATGAGATCTCCCGTGCTTTTTACTGAATGGAAAACACAATTTCCTAGTCGTGTAACAATATATTATCACTATGTTGTATATCCCCTATCGTTGTTCATGACTTCCTTCTATCTTTCTACTAAATAATGTATTTTATCTGGCTAGAAGGTAGCGGGCTTCATCTCGAAGACGTTTTCCAACCACATTTAACGTTCTTGATCCGCGTTTAAGGTAACGCTATAAAAGCGATCGCCCAGTGAATGGAAAATCCATCGGCGCAAGATCTAAAAAATATAGAATATGTAGAATCTTCCATTTAAAGCTCAGGAGGGCAGCTTTGACGATATATGCTATGTGTGACCTTGCGTTGTCATGCAGCAGGCTGACCCAACTTAGTTTGTTGGGTCTTTTTCTTGAATAATCCGGTTGACTTGACGCGGTTATATACATACCTACCGATCAACTGTCTGGTCCGAAGAGCCACTTTTCGGTTAGAATTTGGGCGTAGACGCTTCGTTTTGTACTAAGGGCCATCCGTCTAATAGAGTGCCTAACGGTGCTGCCGGACGTACACTTGAAATATTTCGCTTTTAGTCCCAGTGAATAGGGCGTTTACAGTCCCACCAGGCGCAACGAATGTCTTTTTTTTAACGAAGACCTTGTTGGATGGTGGCTTTAATTTCCTTCTTAAACCATCCAGGCCGGTCTGTTGCTCGTACCCACGTACAGGCATTACTTCATGCCACCATTGACTCTGTGCAAAAATCGATCATTGTGACCGCGTTACGCTCGATGCCAGGCGAGACGTTTAGGTGCAGCGAGTTTATGAGGTACCTGAACTTTCGAGTTTCTATATAAACTCAAAAGACTTGCGTTGTTTGTCAACCATCCTTTCTTAAAAATTCCTTCAATTTAGATGGTTCGTCAGAGTGCGAGGCATTCTCTAGATTCAAGATACCATTTTGAAACTTGGCAAATCATTCTTGAGCAATCCTTTCATCGATAGCCTCGTTACCGTGTACACGGCAAATGTACTAGGCTGTTTGGATGAAGCGCACGGTATGGAAGGCGCCGAAAATGCTTTGCCTTCCATCTGGAACATCAATTTTTGAGAAGTTATTTCAAGCAACACAATATCGTTGCAGAACACGGATTAAGTAGGATCAACAGCGCGTCATAAGCAAGCAACAAGTGAAGGGAAGTGGAAATGAAACGTTTTTATAAAGACGCGAGGACTAATATATCTTCGTGGACGCTATGCACTCTAATGTTATATATTTCCATCTTTGGTAAGATCTTTCAAATTGAACTCCTGTATCTATGCAACGGACAAGCGCATTACTTTAGGAGGGATCTGCCTTGTAGCAGACTAAATCCAGCAGTAAAATAGAAAAACTCACTAAAGCTTAAAACGAATACACATTTTTACTCACGATATTATATACATTTTATCTGACGGCATCAACGTATAAAGTATTAATTCTGACAATGGTCAACAGAGGCACATTATTCAGCTTTAAGGAAGTGTCTTTCACTTCTTAAAACTAATATCTGTCTAATGTAGGCATACCTGTATCATTTTTATTTCATTATATTTTACACTGGGACCTTCAAACAGATTGCGTATAGCCGCGTCAACAATTTGCTAATTAATTTCCCATATAAAGGTGGATTCTACAAAATTTAAGATAAAAATAATAGTCAACATATATAAGGATAATGTTGTTTCACTCAAAAACCATCTTCAGTACAAAATCATAAATCAATAATGTGCGATTAGTTTAAAAAAAAAAAAGACTAATTTAGCATCTGAAATCAACAGATGGTTATCATTTTCCCTCTCTGTAAGCTAGCCATTGTGCGATTGCTGAAAATTGTTGAAACTGTTTTTATTAATTCATGTGAGACACTTACCACATGCTTGTTCGTCGCTTTCGTCCCCACAATCATCGCGATTATTACACCGTAAATCCGCTTTAACACAGCGTCCATTTCCGCAAAGAAACGCATCTTCGCCTGAACAGCGAGGTAACAACGCCAAGTCTGCAAAGCCCAATTTCAGAAATGTATGCGATACCGTAATTTTTGAAAACATGTCCAACAACCAAGTTTAATTATAGATTATTATAAATTAACCCAACTAAGTTAAATTATAGATTAACAATACCATATGCAGAGCGAAAGAGGTTATAATATAAGTAATATACATAGATGAGGTGGGCTGGAATGAACTAATACAAAATATGTGACATTTTAACAAGTTATCTTTGAGCATCCAGGGTAACAGAGCTAGTTTCGCACGACCCAAGATGAAGCTATCATCAGCGCCTTGAGTCTTGGTGGCGGCGATGATACGGACAGAATCGCGCGCGACTTGGTGGAAGCATTCCAATGAAGGACGGACGGATCGAAGACCCTTGAGTTTGAAGGCAGTAAACCAAGGAAGTTGACTGGGGGCTAAGCGTCGGCTAGCCCAAATGCAATGACCTGTGGATGAAGTAGCGCAGAGATTCAGGAGGCACCTCAGAAAGTCTGCGTTAGTGTGGTACGCCCGCAAGGAAGTAGGGTCGGTACGTCGCAGGGACTGAAGGAACTGGCAGATCCCGTTTCACAAACAGGGTTCAGGTCTTCCAACAGATTTTTTGAACTTCACGTACCCACAGCCTCGACCTAATAAACATATGTCTCATACGTTGGATCTCGACGTACACGTGTAGTAGATATCGGAACCGAAAAGCTATGCGCTCGAAAACCCACTAACAAACTTAAGTTACAACTCATGTGTTGGCGTCGACGGGGGTTTTGGACCTGCGTTGTGTCGGTTCCTCTTGACATCGTAGTTTTTGTGTCAACCGAGAACGTTCTCGAAGAAATTACATTGGCTGCAAAGGTAGCTGGTTTTAAGCGACTGCCTGGAATAAATATAGGTTAATAAATGTAAGTTACAAGCAATAAATGTAGGTTGGAAGGCTCACGTCTTCATACTTGCGAAGGCGATGCTTTAATGCCTCCACAGCAAGTTTTTAAGGGCTTTGGCAAAGCGGCAAAGCTCATCTAAAACACCTCTCGAGCTTTAGGCGAATCGGTGGTGCGATATTCCACCATTTACTCTTGCAGAAATTCAAGATATTACCCTGCTATTCATATTTCAAGAAACGGTTTTCGACTATATAATGTAACAGGGTATGCCGCGTCGCCACTTCTGTCTGATCAAAGGCGAAACTTTGACTGGCGTTACAGCATTTGTCTGTCATAACAGATCATAAGGAATATGATTATCAAAAGGTGAAACACCAAAACCAGGTAAGGCACAGGACATTGAATACTGAGCTACTGACAGCTTCATAAAAACAGTATTACTGGCTCTAACAATTTCTCGGAATAGCTCACGGCTCCGAACGATTTGAATCCAAACAAGCATATATTCCGATTGGAATAAGAGGCTCGACCCACGAAAACTGATGTTTCATGTGGATATCCTTTTCTTTTAGACTTTATATAGAATTGCCTTTTTTTTAATATTCCCAAATTTGCAGTACTCTAAGGAATGGCATGCGGGCCTCTTTTCCAATTCCTTCTTAATACCAACAAATTTTTGCAGTATACTAAACACTGAGACAGAGCTCAAATACTAGTCACCTTTTCTAGTTAGGCTGATCTATTGACAGTCAACATTTTGGCAATGTTACCAGCTTTAATCATTTAACAATGCCTATTATTAAATTAGAATATATGGCCACGTGTTACCGCATGAGCACAAATTTCTGGTACAATAGACTATCACATTCTTTTAAACGGCGGTACTTACATGTCAGCTAATGGCACTTTATGAGCGCGATGAAAAGCAGCGAACGCGAAACAGATATAATTTACTCTACTAATTTTTTACGTGCACTATAATTAGTGAATGTTGACTTGTGGTTAGCCATGAAAAATATTAGAGTTTCAGCTGTCTAATAAGGTCTTCGCGAGAATCAAGCTAGGAGCTATGAACAAAGTTTCGAAAGTACATTAATTATTACGTGAGTAAAATAGTTTTCCTAATCTTAGTTAATGTTTTTCTTATCGATTTTATTTATAGATCGAAAGTTTTCCGAGATATTATATTTGTGTGCCGGGATAAGAAGCGCACGTGATTGTAGTTATTTGGCCTGTGAATAATGGGTCAAAGCTGCAAAAATCACGAAGGCGTTTATAGTAAGCTAGTTGAGTTTTCTAATTGTAGCTAGACGGCTACCGTTAAAAAAACTCAACCAAAGCTCACTCGTGACACGCCAGTGACATCTCAACTCTAATTTGACAAAGCTTTAAAACCCTACAATTACGAAGCGTAGTCACCTACGTACGCAGGCCTGCGTTCATAAAATACGCTACATCGATTTCTCTGGCTTAAAAAAAGGCTTCGAAAGCTACGTATGTAAGTTCTCGAATATCCCCTTGAGGAATATCCCCTTCGGACAAATCACCGCAAAACACCTCATTCCAAAGAAAATCCATTAATCGTTTTTGGCGTGGATGTCGCGCGTGCATGTCATGCACGATAAGAGAACACATATAGTTAGGAACTTTACTGTGATAAGGTGCGTATGTGAAAGTTTTAGTGAAATGTTGCAGGCCTCTATAGTGCCATAGTGCCACTCCATAAAATTTCATACCTTTGACAAGGAAATTGCAAGGAAGTGACGCCCATACAACAAGCGATTCGGTGGAATCCACAGTGTGATATAGTGCAAGAGAGTTAAGCGAAGATGGCGAAATACTTCTGTTTTTGTACCATTTTCGGAGTCGACAACGGCAAATAGATATATATCAGGAGATTGATCAACATCAGGCGAAACGGTGGTAAAGCACCATACCCAAAATGAAATTTAAAAACAAAGCGGTATGAGACGTCTATAACCAAGACGAACGTTCATAAGCCGAAAACGAATCTTCCTAAAAGCCGAAAATCGAAAAGCCGAAAGTGAAGAATGAAAATAAGCTTGGCTGTTTTCTCAGCAAAGCACAACATGCTTGAGGGTCGGCTTAGTACGGTTTATAATCATCTAGTTGCAGGGAGAAAAGGAAAGACCAAGGCTCTTCGAGAAAACCGTCTGATAATTATGGTAATGTGTTCTTACGATCAAGGCACACCATAGTGCTTCACAGTTCGTGACAAGGAGAAACGAGCGGTGATCGTTCACCGATTTCAAAGAATAAGGTAGCCACCGTCGGTTAAACGAAAGTCATAAAAGTTCGTTCATGAGACTTCTTTACAAGGGGTATTCCCTTGATAGATCAAGAGGTAAGTGTTTTTACAGCAACGCGTGTAGGTCGTGGGCCTAAGCTCTGACGCAGGAAAAATTGCCGCATGTTTCAAAGAATTTGCTACAATGGCCACCACATCGATGCCTAATGATATCGCTATTCTCTTGTAGACCCTGTTTAGTCATTTAACTTTATCACTGACTAAGTTATGTCTATAACTTAGAGTGATGTGCACTCTGCAGAAGATCATTGCTGCAGTGATATATTCTCCAATCTATTGTATTCATTGCCCACTACGGCCCAATTTGGCCATTTAGCAAAACATAGAGTTCACTCTTGATAGAAGAAGTAGAGGTCTCTCTTTGAAATTGCTCATCAAATACATGAGTAAATGTGCGCTTTATCAAAGGAGTCGAGTAGTATAAGTTCTTGCAATTAGATACCTGCCGATATCTTACCCACCCTATTGCCGTCTTTTCCATAGCAGTTCACGAATATAGTTAAATGCTGTCGGATCCTCACCTGAGACACTACTTGCCACCCTCTGAAAGTCACCACTTTTTGGAACAGCTCGAACGTGAATTTAATCGCTTCTCGCAATATTAGTTGTGTTGTCGCCGGTAAAGACTCTCTGCTAAAATTTGCGGCTTCACACATTTGCAAGGGCAGTATCAGGAATATTAAAAGGCAAGACATTGTTTTCAAAAATATAGCATAACCTATAGTTGTTCTTTTGTAGTACTCATATACCCTCCAAAAACCTCTAATGCTTAAGACAAGAGTTTCCCAATCAGTTTAGTACAAGCCAAGTTAGCCGAAACAGACGTATCAACTTATCCTGTCTACAAGCACCATGTTTTCCTTGTACGAAAATCCGAGAAGATGTTTTGGTACGCTACTGTACACCGCTTGTCCTTCGGCGCTCTGCTTAGTCGTTCTTACTGCTAAATTTTGAGCGAGAGAATCATGAATCCACGACGGCCTAGCAGAAACGTGGATAGCTGCAGGCCTCAGCATCTTAGGGTTCTTCAAAACAAGGACAAGCCATTCTTCCGCTGCTGCAAGTATTCGTTAGGTCTTGTAGGCTGGCTTTAAAAGGTCGCGTTCCAGATTCCACACTCGAAATTTTCGCCAAAGCCAGTTTCTTAACATTACGGAAGAGGGCGTCGGCATTGGAACCGTTAGTAGTTCTAACGGCACTTGATTGTGGAGGATAAAACGTCTCAATGCACTTCGCCAGGGAATTCTTCGGAATTAATCAACAGCAAGGTCACGCTCAAACTGGACTCCAAAATTTTTGAAAACAGGCCTAATTCTGGAAGCTATTTGAGTATCGTCTCATAATATATCTGATAGTACATTAAATATACCGACGACTTTTTGGAGTTCGGATATCGTCTGTAAGTGGGAGGTACAGCAAAGCATCGCGATCCACTATCCTGCGCCCAAACCTAATTGCGGAATCTAGTCCGTGACGCTTACTCTAGAATACCTGCGAACAGACGCCTGCTACTCTGGGTGTGACCGTTTATCTACTTCGTAATAGTCCACTAAATCTTAACTGAGTACTGAGATGCTACGACATTTTCAAAAGACTTCAACCTCAGCAGTTTCGATCATATCGAAAGGGGCAGTTTCGCTGCTTACGTCGTATGTCATAAGAAGCCAAGAGGCGCTTTGCCGTCCAATTTAGTTCTTCGTCAAAACGGCAGCGCAACGTTTTCGGCTCCTCCGGGGCCGAGGAGAATATACGACGAAATTCTTAAGGTACACCGGTTCAAAATTAACAAACGAAA